AAAAAATGTCAGAAACGTTTTGGACATCCTTAAACTCTGCACATTTATACTTAACAGGGACTTCTAAATACCGTTTATAAGTTTGCTTGAAATCAATTAATTAACACTAAATCGAACGAGAATAATGTTAGTTATAGTTTGTGTATGTTGACAAAAACTGACCCCATTAAAAGGGTTGCGGGTGCAAGCGTGATGTATCCTCGTACCGGATCAAAGCATGACAAGGAACGGAACGGTTTTAATCAGAAGTTCAGGACATTCTTCTATTCCACCCAGGGGACAGAAGGTGCCGAAGAATTTTATGATTAACCCCTCAAAAATACTGAGTATTGTAGTTTTGTTAGGTTAAAGATTAGCTGTTATAATAATAATAATTTTTCGTAAATTAATATTAATTGTTGCCGTCATTTAGATTTAATTTTTTTATACAACCTTTTTTTTTTAAAATAGATAACACTGATCTAACCGAATCTTTACCTAGTTAAAGACAGCTGAAACCAACACCTTTGATAATTTATGAGCAGAGAAATTCTCGATGTGACGATTAACTTTAATATATGTTAAAAATAATGTACAAATACATATTTAACTTGTCCTTAAATGTACAAAACCTAGACTTAGTTGAGACCCGTTTAGAACAATTGCAAGTCTCGTAAACTTACCTTAAACAAAAATGTTTGAAACATTACCTACTGAATTCAATTTGACCTGTAGTTCTACTTTAAAACACTGACACGTTACCTGCCTACGAGATGTGTTAACCTTTGGATAACTTACTGAATGTATCGTATCAAGTTTTAAGTATGGGTCAAACGTATCATGTACATAGATATGAGTCGAATATATATTAGTATTGGATACAAGAGTTTCATTTACTAGGCTATAATAATTATATACAACTAGCGACTCGACCCGGCTTCACACGGGTGCAATGTTAATCCTTTTTTTATGTGATAAATCGGCAAACGAATAAACGGATTACCTGATGGTAAGCAATCAACGCCACCCATGGACAACGGAGGAGACCTTTTGAGGATTAGGGATTTGAACATTTTGGGATTGGGGAGGGATTGGCGGAGGGGAAGGATTGGGCCTCCGGTAACCTCACTCACACGGCGAAACACAACGCTGTGGTTGTTTTACGCCGGCTTTCTGTAGTATCATCTCGCCTTATTATTTATAAATAAAACCCGCGATTTACATTTACTTTGACTTTACATTTATATTAAGTTGTCGTAAATCGTAAACAAAAAAATCGATTAGAGTTGTCAATATATTTTCTTATTTTGATTATGGCAACACCCTAACGTCATAATAGTCGGCAGTGGGTAATTAATTTCATAACTTATTAATTTTACAAAATAAATAAACCCTTATACAAAATTGACATATAAATTGCAGAATTACTTCAAAAATAATTGGAAGTAATATAATTTTTATCTTAATGCATGAGAAAAACCAGTACCGTTGGTGGTCATGATCCTTTCCAATTCATAAAATAGGTTTCATAAAATCGTACCGTGTTTAGTTATAAAGTTAAAATGTCCATCAAAATGACCTATTTTCAAAATAACTTTATTTGAATAAATGTATAATTATTATTAACTAGCGGTCCACCCCCGCTTCGCATGGGTGTAACTATTCTGCTAACATCGAAAGGGCCACTTTTTCCCAATTTCCTCCTCTACATTTCTAATTTTTTTTTGATGATATCCTTCTCCTAACAGTACTAAATACAACAAAAAAATTGGACGAAATGGTCCAGGCGGTGTTGAGTTATGCGCTTACTAACACATTTTGCCATTCATTTTTATATATACATAGATACACTATTATACATATAATACATTGATTCTTCGTTTCCAATGCTACCATACATTGACGTTTTAACAGCAAATGACACAAAAACGTAATACCAACTTAACACGACGAAGCCAATTTGTATGTTGTCGGCAATGTAAGCACAATAAACAAGAAATGGCGGGCCAAATGACGAACATAAATAAAAATTAGTCTACCGTGGATGAACAATGAACTCCTGGTAGATGTGTGCCCTTTACTTTGCAATCGAAAATGACAGGATGAACTCGGAAGCCGCGGATATAAACACAAAACTGCTTCAAATAATATTATTTGAAGCAGTTTTGTGTTGCAAAGCGATTGTTGCGATTGCAAAGTAAAGGGCACACATCTACCAGGAGTTCATTGTTTTTTTTTTAGATACCAAAAGACTCTTCCGAGACCTTACTACTTCATTAAATCTAGTACGTACTTGCTTCGACCAACGATTTCACCCTATGTTTGGCGTAGCTTGATGCTGTATAGACATTAAGCCTATTGACTTACTCAATACTTTTTTACCTGTTAGGACGGTTAACGGGCAGACAAATTGCCAGATGCTAAACCATCAGCGCCGCCCGTGGAAACAACAGCAGAGGAGTGACGAGTGCGTTGCGACCTTTTGGGGTTTAGGGATTTTGAGGTTCAGGGGTTGGATAGGGATTGGGTGAGGGAAAGTATTGGGCCTCCGCTAACCTCACTCACACGGCGAAACACAACGCTGTGGGTATCACTCCAGTCGAGCCGACCCATTCCCACACTTAGACCACCATACACCCAAATGGACTATGTAACACAAATGTATTGTAATATTCGAACCTGTACTTTCTGTGATACATATTCATATCTGCTTAATTTCAGTTTCGAAATTTAATACTAATCCTGCGTTATAACTGTTGTAACTAAATGAGAAAGGTAAAGGAATTTTTCTGATCGTAACCTTTTCATTTCACAAAAATCATAATATCAACACAAAGATCTTTATAACATACACAAACCATACATTTTTCTCAATAGAACATCTCTGACAGATTTGGTCTATCTCTTTGAAAAATGGCATTCACTTCATAAGGCTATTCCGATATGATTGACTTATAAAAATACATCCCTAGTTTGGCATTTATACTGATAAACAGAAGCAGACAAATAAATTGTCCACAGTTCATCAAAACAATTCGTCATCCAAAATTTTATTGCGAAAGCAAGTTTGCAAATTCGAACAATTTGTTTTTTAAAGAGTACCTAACGATTGTGTTCCTTTCCATTCAGTGTGTGATTGTTACTTGTTAGACTTTGATGTTAACTTCTCCTTTTACGGTTAATCTTATCAATAAATGTGGCATCGTCTTTGTGAATCCAATTTGGTTGTTGGGAGCACGAAATAAGTCTGAGATCTAACTTTCATGGTAAATTCGCGCAGAAAAATCATCAAGTATGTAACGCATCTAAGGATGCTCACAGATCTTAAATTTCAACTTTTATGAAACATTCATTGATACTCTATTTTCCAAATTGTGTACTATCACTGACAATAATCAAAACTTAATTAGTGTGAGAGAGTCAAGTTTCGGTACGAATGGCTCGGCTAGCAAAGAAGTGAGCATTTTCAGTGCGGACGTGGTAATACTATCACAAACAACTACGGAGTTGCTGAGTTGTCTTTCGCCATGTGAGAGAGGTTACCGGAGGCTCAATCACCTCCACAATCCCTAATTCCCCAGAACCATGTCAAAGGGTCTCCAAACATGTCCAAGGGCGACGCAGATTGCTTACCTAGACCTAGACATAAAAAAGTAATAATACAAATTGGAAGAACATGAGGATCGCCTTTTCTTAGTAGTGGATATCTTCCAGCTTATGAAGATGGCATCAACAAAGTAGTACTTGAAATACGAAGAAAGATATAATATGCATAAATCCCACAACCGTGGCCAAGCGTAAGAGCACACACACACATACAATTAACAGTTTTCTTAGACCAAATTATGGTCATCCTAATAAAGTGTAATCTAAGAATCTAAAGTGTATATAAATCTATACTATTTAATAAGGATACCAAGAAATACACATTGATTTCTAAAATTAGAGTAGGTATTCGCGAAAATAGTGAAACTTATAAAAGTGACTAACGGCAAAGTTTTGTAGAACCAAGAAAACTGAATACTGTGATTTCTAGAAATCTTAGCGATATGCTCTGGTTAACTAACAACTTCTTAATTTAATTGAATGTTGAAACGTTTTAACGTTAAACACGTTGCGTACCGTAACACCCTGTCACCGGTTGGAATCCTGTACGAAACAATTATTTTTGGTCTTCGTCTTCGTCTGGAATACTCGGAATAACATTTTATATGTTTACATATAAGACAAAAACCTTATACATTAAACATTAACTATATGAAACTTAAATACATACAAATATAAATGACAAGCAGGTCGTTATGTATGAATATTTGCAATTATTGAAGATAAATTACATGTAAGGTACTCGATAAAAGTGACCACTTTCATATACTTATTCTACATAAACGAGGAATCTTACAAAACTATAAAAATACAACATGCATATCAGTCCTATCGTACCTTATAAACTTAAAAACAGAAGAAAGACTTAAAGTTAATTTAAAATTAGGTAAACAAGTTACATGAGTGTTGTATTATGTATAATTCTATTATGGGAGTTTTGTTCGGATCGTCACGTAATTTGATGAGGTGACCGGAAAAGTACACTTTTTTTATAAACTCATAAATTACTTATACAAGCATACGTTTCACTGGTAATATTGTTGTATGTGATGGACTAGCTTATGAAACAAGATCTAGAGTAATGAAGTCAGAGAGTTATTTAAGTCTCATTAACATAGATTCACAAATTTCAAATTAAGAACACCTTTAATTCATAAAAAATGCACCAAAACGATCCACCGTAAAAAGTTTCTAGCTCATCATTTAGAAATACAAGAATAAATATCTAAGAATAAACAATTTAATTAAGCAACTTTTTTTATTCAAATTAAACTATACGTTTGAACTTTAGACTAATATGTGGAAAAGGTGGACAGTTATTGCAAGCAGGAGGAGTGCCGCCCGCCCGCCCTCCCGAGCCGCCCAAAGCTCACGCAATGGATATATAAAGGGAGACGGAGGCTTCAGCGGCACAACGCAACACAACCACCGACAACCACGAGCTCTCTTCTCTCCATCTACATCAACACAGGTCCGTACGATAATTTTATTATTATTTTATTTTATTTTTAAACTTTTATTATTTTTATTTTTACTTTTCATTATTTTAATTATGAAAATAATGAATGTGAAATTAATACGTGCGGCATTTGAATTGTGATTTTTATTTGCCATTACAATTTAATTGATCGTATTACGTTTTTAGTGCAAATCAAAACCAAAATAATTTTCTATAACACCACAAATTTGGATAGCTAAAAATATTTATTTAAAATATATATACTATATTTAATTTTAATTTCATAAATGTTACTTAAATGCAAAAAAGTTGGCTGTTTATAGAGATCGTGTTTTCTATTTTTTTTCGTGATAACAATCTTATTTTTATAACTGCGATTTACAAAACTATCGAAAAGTAATATTTTTCTATATATAAACCGAACACCAAACAAAAATAAAAAAATGTCAAGATATTATGTGAAACTCAGTTTTATAACTTTATATAAAACTCATACGTAATTTAAAATAATTTTCCTATTCGCGTGATAGCTGCAACTTCATGAAAAAGTGCAATTCCATTTGATTTCACATCTCTGCTTATCCCTCCTGCGAATAAAAAACCATTGTAGCAAGATAAACAGTTATAATAACATACGATTGAATTATTTATTTACGACATCATCGGACAGTCTTTCAAGTCGTTTCAGTTTAACTTCCGCTTTAATACGGACCTCATATCCGGTAGATGATGGTTATTCGCTCATTTTATTTCTCCTTCATGTGGTCATTGCAAGCCTTATGATGCTAGCTGATCCATGAAGAGTAATTACAAAGCCTTGATCTGTGGTTTCAAATAAGTATAATAAAAATAAAATAAAATAAGATCTAAATAGGTAATAATGTCTTTTAAAATCTGTTACAAAATTAAATACGAAAATCTATATCTTATTAACACTAAGTATAGTCTTTTTGCATTATTACACACAATATTACACAACATTCACAACACAATATTCAATCCCGCGCGTTTGCAGATCAAACACAATCGCGGTTGATTAAAAAAGAAAAATAGTTAGTTTGAAATGCACAAATATATTTAAAAAAAATGTTATATCATATATTTTTTTCTATAAAACTTTTAATTTCTTTACCATTTTCTTACTTTCTTTATCAAAAAGGAGTTCTTAAGCCACAATAGACAAAAATTAAAAGTCATTATACTAAAAAGGTTTCAACAGTCATGTCGTATTAAAAGGACTTTTCATAGCCAACCGCTGACACCTCGACTTCTTTTAAATTTTGTAATATTTCATTACATCAGAAAAGTTACTAGTTTTGTTTAAAACTAGAGTTAGATACAGGGAATCGTAGCATAACTAAACTAGTTTTTTTGTGATAAAATATTTAAAACTTTTGGCAAAGCCTTTTTCATTCACCTCAACTTTTTCTGCTGTCGATAGAGTCAGTTTTTCGTACAGGCTTGGTTGCAGTACGCCTTGAGAAACCTGAGTTTCCAAACTGCTATTTTCAAAACTACCATATTTGGAAATTACCGATAGCGATACCGCACAAAAGTTGAGAAAAGACTTTTATTCCCCATTCCGTATTTTAAGAGTTTTATTCCTGGATTATTATCTGACTGTATGACTATTTTTTATATATAAAGGGTTAATTTTACAATAGTCAGTTAAATGTTATCTGAGGAATAAAATTGTTGCTGTCACTGTCTAATATAAACATTCAGATGCGACAGCATCATAATTATTCCCCAGATAACTTTTATCTAACCATTGTAAAATCAGCCCTTTAACATTTTTTACAATAAATAGAAACATTGTAACTTGAAAGCCGTAATCACAATACGTCAACTCAATAAGATACATATCTAAAAATAAGTCATTCTGACCTGTGTAATGCCTTCATACTTCTATATTTGGATTAAAAATTGGTTCAAGCCAATCAGTGACAGCGTTTTGATAACTTGCACGTGTAACTCCTTACAACCCGGTTCTAGGGAACAACAAATTGAATGAATGAATGATATGATTGATCCATCTCGTGACCTCTATATCTGAACTTGTATCCCCTCTGGCTCCACCCGCGTGTTAAGAATGTTTATGACGAGGTCGAATATTAAATGAAAATCCTTTGGAACTTACTAAAAGTTACCTTTCCAATGGTCAATAATTCAATAAAACAATCCAGTACTTTGGATCTTAGTTAATAATTAAAATCAATTAAATTTTTCCTCTGCCACCGGCTTCGCCCGCATCGGCTAAAGAAAAAGTTGCCCCTAGTATTACATCCTTCGAAATCAAATCATAACATAAAAACGCTCCATTATAAAGTGAAAGAAATATGGACAAACAGTCAAGTTTTAGTGAAGATAGGTACTTAAATAAAGTCGAATATTGGTGCACACTTAGATACTTTATTTGAAACATACAGGGTGTGTTATTAAGTTATCGCATTTATTATACCTGACATATTGACGCCGTAACGGCAGCCACTTTAGTTATAAATGTATATTACTTTATCATTTAAGTCGAGTGGCAAGTAATCAGCTTTATTGACTTTCGATCACAAATGAATAGAATAGAAGAATAATATTATTTCTCATGAACGAGGGCATGTATTTATTTATACCTGTTAAGATCATGTGCTTTTTTCTATAAAAAATCAATGTAGATAGGTACAAAAATAAAATTTTAAACCATCAGTGCGTTGAAGTCTTTCTTATCGAGTTGTTTTTTAATTTTACACTTTTGTTCTAAAATGTTAATGTGTGTGTTTACTTGATTTATTAAATCTTTCATGCAATAATTAATTTTTAATTATAGCTTAATAATTAATAATATGAATTTATTTTAAATATCCATAGCCTTCCTGAAAAAACTCCCACGGAAAGAATAATATATTTTATAATTAAATCTTGATACTTATGACGTCCGCTGGCAGTTTTAATTAAGTGTATGTAATTAAAATTAAGCGCTCACTTCATTTATATTTTACGTTAATTGTGAAATGGGAGAAAAACCTATGAGCATAATTATAACAAGAAAATAACTTAACTGCGTGAATTTAATCTACTGAAAAGTAATGAATTCAAAGCTAGCTTTTATTGTGGCGTAAGTCATAACAGAATGCAATTTTAAAATTATTGCATTTCATACGAGTTATAGTGTTAGTAATGTAATAATATTGGAGTCACAATGGTTCTATGTCGGCGACGTATTTAAATTAAAATACGAAAAAATAATAATAATGGCAACATCGTTTAAAGAACGTTGACCACCACGTTGACTGCTACAGCGTCAACAAACCAGTGACGTAGAAACAACTATCAAAATATAAGTCTTAAAAAAATTTAGAACGATCATTCGGCTTCGAAACCTTGCAAATACCAACGACAAATGTGCCTTTCATGTACATTTCATTAAATGATTTAGACACTACAGACATGTGGTAGTGCACAAAAAAATCGTTAGGAATCTTGGACTTATAATTTACAATTATAAGTTCGATATCACCATTTCTTCTTGAGCAAGCGTGGTGATTAGTAATGGTCTTTCTCCATATAAGAAGTAGCCTTTTCTCATTAGTGAATACTTATAGATACATTTATATAATCATCATCGTCAGCCAAAAGACTGCTAAAGAAAGGCCTCTCTCTTAGTTCGTCACGACGAACAACAATTCGCCACTTATAGTCAAAAATTCCCCACGAGACACGATTGCCCATTCAATAATATAATCAGGCTCGACACACGACACAACTTTACGTCATTAAGTACACGTCATGTATTATTTAAACAACATGGAATTTCAGTAAACCGTATAATATGAGCAATCTAACGTTTTTCCCACAACTAGTAATATAAGGGAGACTTCTGCAATAATAATTCTAGACTCAGTAAGACCTTTTCAATTAATGGCACTTGCGATATTATTTCGAGCCAATTATAAAACAATTTATGTCTTTATACAAACAGTTATTAATTTTGTGTACCTATTGACAGACAACACGTCTGTAGGCTCTGTAAAATACACGTAATTACAATTTCAATGAAATTGGATATTCACTACGTAAATATTTTTGACTAATTGTGTCGTAAATCGTGGTGTTTAGGATTAACTTTACATTATGTTAAAGCATTTAAAAGGTTAGAAGTCATCTTAATTGTCTTATTACTTTAACTGAAGAATAAATTCAGATTTACAACTGCAAATTGTTTCTTAATTTCATGGCGATTTGGTTTTGGTATTTTTTACTTTTATTTTGTTACATTTGCTTTATCATAATCAGTCGATTCCTTTCCTCTGTTGGATATGGGCTTCTTTAATGGCGTACAACTGAGCTCGATTCCTAGATCTTCGTAGCAACTACTCCCATTGACTATGCCTAGCAAATATAGGTTTGTTTAAGAAGCGCCATTTCAACTTCCTGTTTCCAGCAGTACAACACTGTAGCCGGGGTTGCGGGGCAAGCGCAATCAGTCACCGCGGCCTCAGTTCAGTTTTCAGTTCGTAAGACTCTGACACTAATGGGCGGGAGAAGTCATTTGATGATTTTCCCATTACAAAAAGAAGTAGTATAAAACTGGCCGATGATATTTTGCCTGTCTGCTTGTGTATTAATGGTTTGTTTTCCTTGGTGCAGATCAGGTGAAATGATGCGTGGTGCTGGCGGAGCACTGGCCTTGGCCGTCGCCGCGTTGTTGGTCTGCTGCAGTGCAGATCCCCATCAGGTAAGGATTAAATTGTTTAGACTCAAGTCTCGAAACTACGACAGCTAGCCAGACCAGCGCAGCTTGCGGGGTAAGCGCAATGTGGCACCGCGGCCTCGGCTTAAAACAGGAAAAATAACAGGGGGGTTTTAGTCAGTAAGTGTCTGACACGCCCTCTCGCCTCACTCTAAGCGGAAGAAGTAATCTGACAAAAAAAGTCTCAAAACTAAGTGATTATTAACCTTTGCTGTCACGAAATAAACCATATTAGCTAAGGCTTTGTCTTTAACAGTTTTGAGTTGGTTGTCTTAAGTTTAAATAAATAACCTATCGCGGCCGAATCATTTTCTTAGTCTTAATACTCGTTAACGATACCATTTTAAAGTTAAATCCTTGAAACCATCTACTAGGTATTTAAAAATCGAAACGTTTACTCTTTAAAAGATATTCTGTTATAGGTGTAATAGTATAGAATAAACAATATTTCTAGTCAATAAAATGCATTGCTTGTAATCTTAAATTGACAATCGCAGCCAATCTCTTTGGTGGACAAAAACCACGGTTGTGGGATAGCACAACATATTATAGTGTTCCAATAAATTGTAAAAGTACATACTAAGATTGACCAGCGCTTCGAAGCCACGATACTCGTATTTAATCCACTTTATTTTATATAATCTCCTAGCACTCTCTCAAATAGACTTTATAAAACTACATTATTTGAAATGATACATTTTATTCATTGTCAATTTAAATATCGAAACTTATCTTCTTCCTAAGGCTTTGTCTGGGTAAAAATATATGATTACATGCCTTTGTGTCATGCCAGACTATAATCTCCTTGCACGGTTCTCCTTGTATGCGAAATTTCATTCAAATCCCTTTAGTAGTTTTCACGTAAAAGAGTAACAAATATCTATCCATACTTAGTACTTAGTAACGGTTAAACATTCGCTCATTGGAAGTTATTTTATGTTTGACATAACATTCGTAGCAGCCTTTAAAATTTGCATTTAGTACAATTCTTAATGTGTTCACATTAGTTATTTGCGTGGCCATTCGTATCGGCAACTTAAGTAACTGCGAAACATGTAAACATGCTAACACGACAGTAAGTATTAAATATTAAAAGTATTACAATTTAAATAAATAGCTACACTTTTAGACAGCTATTATTTCTACCCAGATTATATTTTTGAAATGTTATAAATCGAAGATAAAAAGAGCCCTCAATCAAGAACTAAATGCCACTACTTAGAGCAGTTACTCAGACCAGTGACCCGTTAAATGCATACAATTTTACAAAAGTAGGTCCACTCAAAATTACATTGAACCAATTCCGCCAACTCCCACGTTTGTACGCGATTCTGTTCATCCTCCACACAGCCGGAATATTAAACGATTATAAATTCAGATTGGATGTCTGTAACGAGAAAACATAATCGTAACTTAAGCCCCCAATTAGATACTAATCGATATGATAAAAATACAAATGGTAACATTACAATCTATATAGAAAGAACATCTCTAAGTAATTTCATTTGCTCGACTGATGTGGATGAGGTGTGTAGAATGTGTAGTAAACATATGTATGTGTGCGTTTATGTAGGTACATATATATTGTTGTTGTATTTATTTAAAACTTACACATGACATATTGATTGTTTTTTGTATTTCAATTGAGTTTCATAAATTGTTTGCTGATTGCACTCACCGTTTTACTCATCTCTGCAACACCTCTCACACTGGTAGAATACCAACGGCATTAAGTGCGCCTTTGAACGACAGTTTTGTGCATAAAGTTCAATAAAAAATAAAATAAAATAAACAGCAATGATTTTTTCTAGCCAAGGTGAAAACAGCAATAGCCATTACATTACCGCTTGGAATTACCTTCGATATCGTAGCCCATATATTTAACGATTTAACCTCATTGAGACTACATTTCTGTGTCTTGTAAATAATAAATTAAAGTAACTTCAGTACTTTGTGTTTTTAAAGACTTAAGTACACGAGTTTTGGTTAAATTGTAGGTATTAGTTCACTTGTATAAATTGTCTAATGCTTACGTTTACTTGACCTTTCGTTTATATAATTATAGCGATGGACAAGCTGCGAGTTGGAGGCGAATTTAAACTTTGTTCTATGCTATATAAAGATTAATTTAAGCCTCGAACACACGTGTTAAGTAGCGAGCCTTTCAGTTTATTACGGATACATTTCGAAGATATTTCGGGAGAGCATTGATTCCCCCTAGTCCTTTACACCATCGTACGACCAGACAATCGGCAAAACGTCATCACTTCATGGTGAATATATCCCACATGCACGAAGCGTTTCGCCTTCAGTTTTATTTAGTTCAGGTTTATCAGAGCCGCTAAGGAGTATAATTCTTTGCCGAAGTCTGTGTTCCCCGAAGGGTTTTAACCTGGGTACCTTCATAGCCTGAGTAAATAAGTTGCTTCTGAGCGGCTACATCGTAAGTAGCATCATCGCTTAGACATGATAGTGACCAAAGGCCATTAGGGAAATAAAAAAAATACGAAAATCATTTAGAATGTAAATAAAACTTGTGAAGCTATTTAAAACCCGTTTATTAAAAAATAAACTCCTGCTTCAAATGTTTTATTTTTTAATAAACAAATGCAAGCCAGTAATAACTAAATGATAAGAAGGACGTTGATACTATTCCTTTGGGACAGCAAGTAATTACAACTAGTATAGTATTAGTTGTTTCGACGCTCTACATTACAAAAATACTACTCTTTTTCTACTTAACTTCTAGATATTTCCACCGAAGCTTATATTTTATTAAACTACTACTAATGTGTGTATAGTATAAGACATCTTCAAACAGAATTAACACGTTTGCCTACCAAAATAATGTTTAAATAAACATACGTAAGCTAAACAAAATTTTTGCTGTCCACACTTTAACTACAGCTAAATAAATACACGCCACCATATTGTACTTGGTCACATAATAAAAATAGCAGTTCACGTACAAAATACATAATTTCAATTAACGTTTTAAAAAGGTCGTGTTTTTAATTTCTTGAATAGAATCGTGATTAATGAGAAATTTGAGAAAAGCTTAGGCACGTCAACTTACATTATACGAGTAACAAAGGTATAATTAGTTTCGACGAACATTTTTAGATAAAAATATTTTTTGTTATTGAGGTCATGAATGTTCGACTTGAAATTGATAATAGTTTTTAATTTACATTTAGTTATGTGTCAAATGTGAAACCCAGTCATTAAAACGGCATTTTAACGCTGCCTTCTTAACTAAAAGTGTTTTTTTTTTTATAACAGGAGCAGGATGTAAGTGGTAACGACCACTCCGCTGAGCGCTACGATGCCGCCGGTAAGTTAACCTACAACGCTCACCGCACACATAACAAACTTTCACAGTTATTTAATATTCATATCCACACATTGTAGTCCAACACGAATGATAAACCTGGCACATAATATTACTAAGCAAAGAGAAAATTGAAAGAAAAACTTGGATTATGTACTAAATATAGTTACTATATACATATTTGTGTTGATGACAGCTTATAAGGCAATCAATCCAAAATAAGCTGACCTCTGAGTCTTAGAAAAGCATAAATAATTGGAAGTAATTTTATACAGTCACCTGTACCAATATACCCTTGAGATGTGGTGACTTACATATGTATACAGGTCAAAACATGTGGTCTGTTCGAATTACGACTTGAAATTCAACCTGTTTGTAGTTGAACTCTGATTGACACACCTTGAAGTTTGGGAATATCAATTGCTATATTATATTTGTTACTACACACTACACAGTTGTTAATCAATCATTATTACATCATCTCATTATACTTTTTTGTTGACCATTATAGAAAAATAATCCATATGTTGATTGTACACGAGCACATTAAATGTATAATAGGTAATGTCCACACACCCAATGCACACTTACTCCACGATTTAGAAATTACACTTCGTGTTACCAGCACAGCACGGTTTTATGTTCTGTGACGTTCCACGTCTGATGTGATACCATAGGTTTACGACCCTGATGACCAAAAGGCGTTCCACACAGCACTAAAAATTCTTTGCACTTCCCCTGCATCTAAAATTACACTCACGACAACGACATAAATTGCACTTAGTTTGTTAATTAACCCTTTCTGTGCACCAATACCATTCAGGTGATGGGATATTGCACCAATCACAGTACCTACATACGTCTTTGCACAAGGTTGAATCACGAAGCTTTTGTACACGGTGCATATATGTTTCTGCACAATTTGTGGTGAGTACTAATTTATGTTATGCACAAATATGTTTAGCTAAACTAAGCATCTCTGCTTCAAGTTAAGATTGCTTGAATTTGTTACAGATAATAAACAGAGGGAACTCGAAGATTTTCTCCGATTCCTGGTACACTATGAAAATAAGTACGAAGACCGCAACCTGAACGGCATCGGTGGAAACTCTCTGCTCGGAAGGAACACTAACGGACTCGGTGGAAGCTCCCTATTGGGCAGGAACCTTGGGAACCTCGGAGGCAGTTCTCTGGTGGGCAGAGAGTTACACTACGGCGCTGCAGGAAGGAACACTCATGGCTTGGGTGGTTCCTCCCTCGCTGGTAGAGACATTGAAGGAGAAAAAAGGATGTACTCCAGATTCGTCGACTCACTTGGAGGTGGTAACTTTGTTCGTAACCTGGATTCTATTGGGGGAGGGAATTTTGTGAGGAACCTCGACTCCATCGGAGGCAGCAACTTCGTGAAGAAAAACCTTGACCAGCTCGGCGGGCCGAACCTTGTCAAGAAGAACCTGGACTCATTGGGCGGAGGCAACTTCGTCCGGAACCTCGACTCTATCGGCGGTGGCAACTTCGTGCGTGAACTGGACTCCATAGGCGGCTCCAACTTCGTTTAAATATTTCATTCCATCTCTCTGATCATTTTACCTTGGTAATATTTTCTCATACAACGTATACATTGTGATATCCCTAAGAAATTTTTATTTATTGAAGTATTGTCATTGTTTAACATTCGGTGTTGATGTTTTTAAATAAATACCTTGCAACCTATACGTTTTTATTCGTTACCTTGTCTTTATCCCATAATACAATTCGAATTATATATTACAATTAACTGTGCTTATCGACACGAGCGTCGCTCAGGTAAGACTAAGTGCTGAAATATTGAATACCGTTTGGAGTTGTCTATTTCTTCCTGTAACTTACTGTTCAATGTGCATGCATGTAGGCCACAAGACTCGTTCCGTGGACGATGGCAACTTAGTAAGAGAAGTTCGAGAAATCCGCCACTCTGGATATGTGCCATACCTCCTCTCTAGACGATTCGATTTCGCCAGGTTAGTAAAACGTTAATTAATTATCATATCATTTTACAAACACACTCTCATCTCTGTAACCTAATAAAAAAAATCATACAAAGTGAAATTGAATGATTTTATTCGATGTCGACTTCTAATTTAAAATATCAGGTTTTTTTAATTTATCAGACACTGGATGTCGTTAGACGACGCTGTAATATATTTGATAACAATACATATGTTTGTATTAGGATTTGTATTAAAATTTACATCTGAAATAGTGTAGAATTATGTTACATTATTTTGAATAAATATTCTTTTCATTGTCAACTGGGGACAATAAAACATTATTCGATTAAAAAACAAAAATAAGCCGTAATTCATATGTGGTAGATATCATAATTAATCATTTAATTGGATTGACCCTTATTTGAGTTATCTATACGGCTCCATGTTAATAAGAAAATGTAATTACGAGAAAGCTGTATTCATGTCGCACATTCAAAGTAAAATATTATCTGATTCAATACCCAATTACTTGATTATTCCTCGAAGGTATTCTGTGGAACACCCTGCTGTGTTGCATTGAATATACTTATGTAGGGTGCACGCTAAATGAGACCTTATTGACTGAATTGCCTCCTACGAACTTCGAGAAAACTTTAGAAGATTTCAATGTCACCCTATTACGATGCGTAGTGAATAGATTGAGGCATATGACATAATATTTTTTATGACATGCCCAGCGGTTTTGCCCTCGTAGTAGATATACTTCTGGCTTATGTTCACTGGTGATAGTTTTTCAATGTCAAAGAAATTTTGAAATAGCCCATTCCATACAAATATTCAAATCTTTTCTGTTTATAATATTAGTAAGGATGGCTTTTTTAAATTAAGATCATCATCATCAGCGTATAAATACCCATTGCTGAACAAAGGAAACTTCTCATACGTTGAAGGTTTGAGGATTAGGTAATCACCACGCTTGCTGAAGGCGGATTTGCGATTTCAAATTTTACGTCATAGTTTCCTCACGATGTTTTCCTTCACCGTATGACAGTGGTGTCTAAATAATCATAGAAAACAGTACATATATCTCGGAAAAGTCACAATGGCACTTAGTTGCGAACCACAATTCTTTTTGCAGCTTCCTTGAATCATTTAAATCACCCACTTTAGTGAGTCAGCACAAATCACCCACTTATCTTAGTTCATTTTTTGCACTAAATTACCTTCTATTTGCCTTCAGTATTGTACCGTTTTAATTTTTCAAGTCTTTTTAAGAAAACCTTCCTTACTTTTATGCCATTAAAGTTCTCTATCATATATCACAAATTACATCAACGTCATTTGTTACAAAATGTTAGTTTTTAGTCAACAATCTTAATACTCAAAGTATTTACACAGTCCATACGGAAGCAAACGCGAGCCGTGGGCGCTTGCACCAATCGAGTTCAGGGGGTACTACGGAGATGGCCTTCCGAAGCGTAATTTCGACGAGATCGACCGGTAAGGATATTACATCTTCTTTTCTTTCTTTTTTTAATATTTCATAGTTTGTAATAACAATTGTATATGGCATTGATGAAGACAAAACAGATGTTATTGGAAGGATACAGTTATCAAAGACACCATCATCAGCCTAAACAAAGTGCCCACTATTGAGCAAAGGCCTCTTCTCACACGGAGAAGGTTTTGAGCAAATCACCACGTTTGCTCAATGCGGGTTGGCGATATCAAACTTATAATTAGAAATTATAAGTCCAGGTTTCCTCGTGATGTTTACCTTCACCGTATGTTAGTGGTGTCTTAATAACCATAGACAGTACTTGTAACTTGGAAAAAGTCACATTGGTACTTGCCTGGTTTCGAACCCAAACCCTCATGCATGAGAAGCGGGCGCCTTAACCTCGGGGCCACTACGACTTTTTATCAAAGGCACTACGGCAACCCCATTGTCAAAGCTCCGCTGTCCATCCATCTGACTGTCTATCAAAAACATAATAAAAAATATTGTAAGGGGCTTTTACATGTCAAAAATGATTTCGGTTCGAAACCCTTCACGCCAAGGAACCAGTCAAGAGCGTACTTGCTATACTTTTTTTTAATATGCACTTACCTACGTACGTATGTATTTGTACACTATTCTATTATATTTAGGATATTTTTCACATTGTTTTGATATTTTATTCCAAAAATTTTATTTTCTAGAAGGAAATTAAAATAGGTATTCATTCTAGATAATTTTGTTTTCCCAAAAATATGTTTTACATACAATTTAGCAACTTGAGTAATAGATTTGATAAACATGTTGTAATCAATTTACGTCCTAAAGCAATATCAGGATATTTTTAGTGAAAACACCAGGGAACACGCTTCAATGTACACGATTTGTATCAAATATTTGATATAAAATTCTATTGACCGATAGGTACGGGTGAAATTGCTTTGACATTTTCATTCGGAATATGTCAATGGAAACCATTTTCACGTATTTAAGAATACTCGTGCAGGATGTTGAAGAAACCGTCTTGGTATGATTGTGCCCGTTTGTAAAGATCCTAATCTGTTTTCAGTATAGTGGTCCATTTATAATTCACAATAGTAATAACTATGGACAACAAAGATTTTGTTTATGTCATAGTTCGGCAAACGGGCAGACGGATAATCTGATGGTAAGAAACCAGCACCGCCCATGGGCACTCGCAGTACCAAAGGAATGACTACAAATGCGTTTTTTTTTATATAATAGACCGGCAAACGAGCAGACGGATTACCTGATGGTAAGCAATCAGCGCCGCCCATGGACACCCGCAACGGAGAAGTTACGAGTGTGTTGCCGACCTCTTAGAGATTAGTGTTTTGGAGATTAAGGGATTGGGAAGGGATCGGGGGAGGGGAAGAATTGGGCTTTCGGTAACTTTACTTACACGGCGAAATACTTCAGTGTTGTTTCACGCCAGTTTTGTGTGAGGCCGTGTCCTGTCGAACCGGCCCATTCGTACCGAAGCATGGATCTCCTACACTTAAAAGAATATTAGATATTTCTACACTTTATTAAATTCTGTTTCAATTGTCATAGATTCTGAGTAACGAAGTTATCCAAGTCCCAAGACAGTTTAGTTATAACCAAAACTTTACGGTAACTGATTTCTAAATTCATATTGAGTTAAACACGTACCTACTGCCTAAGGCTATTCTGTCTACTTTATAGACATTACAATTAATTTATACTATATCAACTGTAGGTAATAGTTTTTAACGAAAAAAACGATAAAGTAAATCTTCAATAATTCGGGTTTACAATAAAACAGAAACTGTTCTAGAAAATTCTTACTACGACATAAATATATAGTTGTGTTTTGTTTGGTTTTTATTTTACTGATTTTTTTTTTTTTTGTTACGCTTTTAGGCTGCATACCATCTGGGGATAACCTGATGGTAAGCAAACGGCGCTGTCCATGGACACATGTAGCACCTGACGAGTCACCCGTGCGTCCCTCACTCAAAACACAACAGAAAGGTCTTGTTTCACGTCAATTTTTAATGATGCCGTCGTAACACTCCAATTCAGCCAAGGCATTCGTATCGACGCATGATCCTAATACTCAGTGTCCTGTTTCTTTAAATACCTTAAACATTATAAAAAAAAAAAAGTAGCAAATCATCATATTTATAGGACTAACATGTTAAAGAAGGAAAAACAATCCTTATGGAAATACATATGTACATATATGTAGGTATAAAAATTCTCCAGTAAGGGTTAAAAGGAAGCTTCTATTATTAAATATTTAAACAGATTCCTGAATCCTAAATATTTTTACGATACGTTAATCTGGAAAGAAAACTATGTTAAAAAAATTCGGTCCATTGACAAAACGAATGTCCTTTTCATTTCTAAATACTTACGCAAGATCTCAAATAAACACTTTTATTACGCATCAGATAAAATAAGGAATTCATCTTATTACAAAACGTTAAGGAAATGCGTGTGCTCGTTTATGTATATTTATGTGTAACCATAATAAAATATTAATAATAAATAAACTTAATTATTCAAATTCAAAGTCAAAATCATTTATTTCAATTAGACCTATACAGGTACTTTAACGTTAAACAAGATTTCAACGATATAAAGTGTCAGTCTGTCGCTCAGTCCGCTTATTGAAGCTATTTGTTCGTTCCAAAGTGTAGATTCCGATGGAGAAGAACGAGCAAAAAACTCCATTGTTACTCTTTTTAAATCAGTTTCTCATAAAGATTCTTTGATACTTATTCAGTAAACGATTATTCAAAAAGTTTTCGTGTAAGTTTAAAAAACTGTACTTCGTATATTTTTTATGAACAAGGATAATAAGCTTCGTATTTTTTGAAATAAGAACGTAGGACAATCTCTCTTAAAAGACTCTTATAATTACACCAACAATCGGACGTAATTAGAGCTCAGTATTTCCGTTTCCATTCCCTAAGATGGCGGAACTCAAATGTTTATTTTCTTCACGTAAATAAGAATATTTCTATAAATACTCCTTTTCAATGTGACCTGTTGACTATACAAAGGTTAATTTAACTGGAATCAACATTCTTGACATTTGTTAAATGATCATATTTTAACCCCTTTAAGAAAAAAATGCACCAATGCTATTTGATTCCAGTGACTAGAATATTCAAAGTTTTAGTTTGATATAAAATTTTAAATAATTAAATTTAATATGAATTTGAAACATTGATACAGACATATATATAATAAATTTTCTATTCACTTGATTAGACTACCAAAGGCTTATCCCATTTGAGTCATGGATTGCGGTCCAAGCGCTATAATGTACCGCAGGCCCGACTTTAACAAGAGAAGGTCCACCGTCGGTGGTTTTTAGTCAGGAAAGATTCTGACGACTGAAGACATAAAAATATTCTGACTTTCCACTCTCAAAAAAAGTACAGACTATAATTTTTTTTTTTTAATCTTTATTTTATTAAAAGGGTACAGACTATAAATGGTAAACAAAACATACCTTTCTCTCTCTGCATTGCCACATTAAAAACTATTTAATAAAAACTTTTTCTCTCAGATCCGGCCTGGACACGTTCGTGAAGAAGCGCAACTTCGACGAGATCGATCGTTCATCGATGCCGTTCCCCTACGCGACCAAACGCTTCTACCATCTGTACGGAACCAATGACATTGATACGCCTGTGTAAGCCGCGTTCAGCGACCGATTAGCACTCACACGAAGACAAATCACCGATGTGAAACATTTCTAACATTTCGTAGATAGAATCGTTGGTCTTGTAAGCAAGGGCAAATAAAATATCTTTAAGCATAATACAGCTTTAGATTTGCCCCATATCACACGGCACAACAAGTTATACATAATAGATGGTCTAGTCAAGCAGACCCCTTAACTCTGTACCTGTGAGAATACAGATTATTCAAGATATATTGTATTATATTTGTAAGCTTGGATTATTTTTATGTTATAGTTCGGCAAACGAGCAGCAATATTTCCTGATGGTAAGCAAATGGCGCCGCCCATGGACACCCGCAACACCAAGTCATTCACGTTGGAACACAAAAGCGCTAACTGATTCATTGTGTTTCAGTTCAAGCTTCGACAAGAAGAGGTACCGACCTGACTACCCCATGGACGAGATTGACCTGTCACACTTCCCCATTGGTTCCAAGCGGTCTCAAGACGACTATCCCCTCGTTCCCCGCAATTTACTGTAAACAAAAGAATCCAGATACCGTCCTATTTAATAACCATTATGTCCACAATTCCACATAAATGTCTTCGCTCAGAACTCTGTGATTGCCTAATAAAAAATTTCGTTTGTTACAGTAATTGTCTTCTCTTTAACTTTCAATGATACTAAAGTTTTTACTTTTTCTAAAAAAAGTTTTAATGATGTTGCAAAAAGTTTTTGTGTAAAGTTGATTCTTTGACTTTTCAAGCCTCCAAACTCTGTATGTATTAATATCTTATAGTATCTAGTACTTCCTCACTCTCAAACTACTTAGATTAGATAAATTATTAGACTTATAATATGATATTGTACATTTCTCTGATATTATAAATTGTAGTAAACTTTAATGTATAAGGAGGGAGAGGTTTAGATTCTTATCTAAATATTATATCAGTATTATCGAGAAACTCTTAGAAAATAACCTTAAAAAATGTACCTGTATATTTATGTTTACCTTGCAATGTATATGTAAAAAATTAAGTTGACTTTGAGCAAAAATAATTATGAAATAAATAATAAAAAGATAATGAATGTTTTCATTTGTTTCAATTCTTATTTCGTTCTCTATCGAACCGTGAGAGATTCAATTTGAAATATAATTAATGTTTAAGTTTGTTCAACACCCTGTATAAATTACTTAAAAGGCCCTCCCTTATCTCATTGTTGGTTAACCAAGAAGGCACAAACACTGAATAATAACTCGCCGACGGCTGTAACAAATAGTTTCCATGAACATTATTTTTATTTTGAAACCTTAATTACGAAGGCTGCCAATTTAATTACAATTTTAAATCCTCCCAACACAAAAGTTTTCTTTGAGAAATAATAACTTATTGTTAGGGTTAACAAAATTCTTGAAATTCAAAAGAGTTCCTCTTGCTTTTTGTGTCATATCCTAATTGACACAAAAAATGAGTTTGAAATAATTTCTGTGTGTATTTCTTAAACTTGACCGGTTCGACCACTGGACTTGTATTCAATTTTATTGAATGATAATTCAACTCTGAGGTCCATTTTCTGTAAACTGAACTAAAGATTTGCCATTCAAGGAAATAGTACATTATGGTACAAGAGTGTAATGTGATGATTACCGCAGAGGCATCAACACAAAAAGTCAAAACTCATTTATTCCAATTAGACCTTTACAGGCACTTTTGAACGTCAAACAAAATTTTAAAGATATAAAGTGTCAGTCTGTCGGTCAGTCCTCTTAGTGAAGCTATTTGCTCGCACTCACACTTCTGTATATTCCTTCTGGTTCTGATTCCCAATCCAGGAATGACAAAATGTTTTCCACAAGTATTTATATTTTTATCGTAAATATTTATAGTATTTCATCTCTTGAACATTACAAACTTTAAATAAAACAGTGGTAAGGGTGGAAGAGCTATTCTTGGGCATAAATGAGCCGGCCCAATAGGAATGAAATCACGGCCTCACAGAAAACTGGCTTGAAGAAACACTTTCATTGTGTTTACCTAGTAATATTTCCCTCCCTCCATCTTCAACCGTCAAAACCCCTATCCTTAAATCTCCAATTACCCACTAGAGGCCGGCAACGCACTGGTAGTAACACCTTTCGTAGTACGTGTGTCCGTGGGCGGCGCCGATTGCTTACCATAGATCGTTTGCCGACGTATGACGTAAAAAAAAACAGCTGTAGTAAAACGGGTTGTCGTAGTACTCGTAAAATATCTGGCAAAAAGCGGGTGTTTATTATAAAACTACATTACACAGGGTGTCCGGTAAAGAATGGATAACCTTGCAATACCTTTAAGCATATCTTATATGCACATTCAAAAAATATACAAAAAAAAATCCGAAAAAAAATATTTTATAAAAAACTTGCAAAAGTAATTTATTATAGACAAATCGTGCAAAATTTATTTTTAAAAAAATGTTTAATCATCGTGGTTATGCAGTAATGTAATGAACGTAAATGTTAAAGGTTCATTTTGTATTACCTCTAGCCCCAGTTCTTTTACTTCAAGACATAATAATTTAGGTACTACCTATGATACTTTCCTTTTCGTTGTTTTTTCTGAATAGCCAAAGGATATACTAAAAGGCATTTCAAGGTTATCCATTCTTTACCGGACACCCTGTATACCGTAAATCATACCATCTTACTTATTGTACTATCCTACTAATATTAGAAATATGAAAGTGTTGATTACATTCTAACAAACTTTGATGTTTTTTCACGTGAAAACTGAAAACGGCTGGACTGCTTTGGTTGAAAATTGGTATGTAGACATCCTGGATACAAACGCTGCTTTTATCAACATACCACGCCTGTGAAACCGCGGGCGGAAGCTAGTTTCTCATAATTCTGTCGGTTTTCAATATACGACGCTAACTACCAGCACCTTCTCTTGATTTTAACGACCACTACGACGTGTAGAATACGTATGTAGCAGTACAGCGCCCTTTCGTACTAAACTTTTATCAATCAGACTCAATTGAACACTGAGACCAGACCATATTTATCAGCCATCTATTTATGAACCCAGTATACGCCAACTGCTTGGAACAGGCCTCATTTCACACGAAAAAGGGATGAGCATTAATTACTATGCTTAACCGAGCAATGGCGACTCAAAGATACATTAAAAATAAGTAATTAAGAAATCAGAAATGTATGTGCATTATCAGCAAACACCGCCGTTTCAAAGCTGTGAAGTTCCTTCCTTATACCGAACTTTTTGTTTTTTTTTCTAAACCGTTGCCCCACACTAGGATTTTCTCCTGTGTCGTGGGTGCGTTTACAAACATACAAATTCACATACACATCTCACCCAGATCCGGAACAACAATTAGTGGATCACACAAAGAGTAGTTCCGTGCGGGAATTGAACCCGCGACACGTTTCACGGCAGCCAGTTGCCCAGCCACCGCGCAAACCGTGCAGTCAATGTCCGAAACTTAATCTATTTGATAGGCACCTATGTTTTGCATGAACATTCCTACTACGACTATTCAAATAGTCACGTAGAGAGATTAAACGAATCACAGTCCACAAAACGGCTCATAAAAGTAAGGTGTGGCGAGATTGTGCCGACAAATAGCGACAAATGGCCGATGACTAACGTTTCTAAGTAATTAAAGTTCGCGTTGGAACGCAATCTAACTAAACAATCTAAAGTGTGACAAACAAATGGTGGTGGCACCACATTCGATTAAAAACTGAGACACAGTTTCCAAGTAAATCAACACAACAATAAACTTGGGTGCATTGAATCGGGGATATATGTACATGTACATACGTGTAGGTACGGCGTACGTCCCCTATTCCTAGATAGAACAGTGTTCTATCTAAGGTTACTCGTACGAACATACAGTACAGGTTAATTAATTTATCATCCAACGTCAATCTTTTAAGTTTTGCGAAAATACCAAAATAATTAACGAACCACTCTATATCATCCAAAGTGACTACTTCTTTGACGTATACAGCTAGTGTGTGTTCTTATTTTTATTTCTTAAAAGACATACGATATTGTATTACATGTCGCAGCCAGACCAAGCCTAGCTTAATTATTAAGCCATTCAAATAGCAGCCAGAGTAACTAGCAGTTTAATTAAATGACATAATTTCTCACCCAGGCCGTTAGTTGAAGAGTGTAGCAACATCAATGTCGTCACAAAATCCTGCATCGCGCAAGCAAGATTATCCGCACGATTGGAACACATAGAACAAACCCGTAATTATCTATCGGGTAGTAGCTCACCAGACATAAAACCCGTCTGGTCGGAGAATCCTCCCTTTGCAATGGAGGATGAGAAACTTTCTACCCTGTTCTCTCATACCTCTAAAGATTGAAGACGTTTTGGTTAGAACTGTGATCCGTACAGATATGAAACTGAGAAACAAACATCTACTAGAATTGTATTGTGTAAAAAGGCTAGGGCGTTAATAGAATGGCTGATTCATGGGAATTGAGAATTGGGGGAATTTCGTCCTTTGTTGGTATCTAACCTTATTGAGGCTTAGTTAGCGCCTAGCTGCAGTGGCGAACAGGATGATAGACTATTACTCTATTTCAACGTTTAAAAATTGAATTAAGGAAGGAATAAAAATTTTTTTGACTTTCACTTTGTGTTTGTGATCGAATTCTTAACAAGTATATTGCATTTTCTCTACATGTTAAGTTTTTCTGGTACACTGTTTTGAACATCTCAAACACGATTGAATCCTCTTAAAAATTTTGTAATGCATAAAGCTGGATTGTTTTTAAAAGTAGTGAAAACTTTTGAATTAAATAATACTTACTTAACTTTTAAGTGAGGGAGAGCCATGCTTCGGCACGAATGGGTCAGCTCGACCAGAGTGATAACACGGCCTCACAGAAAACCGGCGTGAAACAACCCCAGCGATGAGTTCGCCGTCTGAGTGAGGTTACGGGAGGCCTAATTCTTCCTCCCCCAATCCCTAAATCTCCAAAACCCTAATCCCCAAAAGGTCGGCAACGGACTCGTAACTCCTTCGTTGTTGCGAGTGCGAATGAATGGCGCTAATTGCTTACTATCAGGTGATGCGACTGCTCGTTTGCCAACCATGAAAAAAGAACTTATTAATATTTATACCTATAGTATGATGTATGATAATACTTTATCCGTGCGAGAAGCGGTCAATTCTCAGCAATGCGCACGAGTAGGCTGGTGATGCAATGCGGCATTAACATTATTTACCTATTTATTTATTTATTCTTTATATACAATTGCATATCGGAGGACTTAATGCTAGAAGCATTTTCTGCCAGTCAGCCAGTCAAAAGTTTATAGAAAATCTCTATAAACTTTTAACGGGACAATAAGCCTAAAGTGTAACCAATTTAGAAAGATACACTTAGACGAAACTTAACTTGAAAAACAAATATTTTGTAGGAATTATTTAATGGAAATAAAGCTAAAATTTTGACAAGTTTCTCAAAATATGAAGGTGCTTATAAATATCAGCAACACTACTTGACTCTACTTTTTGTGTGATACACAAACGTTGCCTAATATTATGTAGTGAAATCGTGCTCACGACACATTTCCGTCAGAGCCCATATGAAAATGTCCGATACTGAATT